TGTATCTTTGGCTATGTATATTTTCACCAAGAAAAAAAAAAAAGGTTGAGAATTTAGAGGGTTAATATGTTGTGGGGTTGTTAACCAATGTCATAAAACAACATGTGTACTACTGTTTCATGAGAAACTATTTGTTCTGTAAGCCTCCGCCTGAAGTACAATAAAATATTAAAAAGAAAAGTTCATTAAAAGCCTACCACATGCCAGATATTAAAGACATAAAAATAGATTCATATAACAAATGTTCTACAGAGTAACAACTATATGCCAGATACTGAGATACGGCAGTAAACAAAAGAGTACCTGCCCTCACAGAACTTATTTCTAACTTAATATCTCTACCCTTGAGGAACTTGGCCTAAAAGACTTAAAAGCAAATAATTACAGCAATTCAATAACTGCTATGAAATAACGAGGAGAAAGCATCAGTTGTTTAGAGATCAGGAAGAGATTCTCAAGTTGAATTTTTCAACAATCAGTAGAACAAAATTTCCTGTAGGACAAAGCAAGAAAGGCGATCTTTTCAGAGGAACCAAGCAAAGTTGTGATTTACAGGGAACTACAAATAGTTTACTGTGGCTGGAGCTAAGGAGTTTTCTTAGGTTTTGTTTTTCTGTTTGTTTTTGCAGAAAGAGGTTTTCAAGAGGAGTTGGGGACGAGAGGGATAAGAGCTATGAAGCTAAAAAAGTTAGCAGGGGTCAAAATCATGAAGATTTTGTATGCCACATTAGGGAGTTTGGACTTTACACTTCGGGCAAGAACAAGGCATCAGGTTGTAAGAAGGAAATGTACCAAATTTCAAAAAGATCATGATGAAGACATTGGGAAAACTGAACATGTTCCTAGTATGGGAGATTATCACTATGATGGTCTTTTGGGGTAAATTCTAATCGTCTATGAAAATAAGGTGACCAAAATTACAACTGGATTCTTATCCTCTTATTACCAAACCTCTTCTTTGCCTGCATTTCATACGTAACTATGAAAAATGAGACTAATACAGATCAGTGGATCTCAAACTTTGACGTGCATCAGAATCACAATAACCTAGGAAACTTGTTAAAGATGCCTGGGCTGGGCTCCCCACTGATGATCTAGGTCAAAAGAGTGATTGCACCAAGGGATGTAGGAGACACCACTGGGGTGCAAGGAGAAAATGTTAGATCTTCCACTGATATTTATTTAATAATTTTAAAAGGTCTAATCTGTGTATTCACCATCCACCTGTCAGTTTGTCATACTGTGGTAGCCCGTATGTTGCTACGATGCTGGAAGGTATACCACAGTATTTAAAATACCAACAGGGTCACCCATGCTGGACAGGTTTCAGAAGAGCTTCCAGACTAAGACAGACTAGGAGGAAAGGCCTGGCCATCTTTCTGAAAATCAGCCAATGAAAACCTTATGCATAACAACAGAACATTCTCTGATATAGTGCTGCAAGATGAGCCCCTCAGGTTGGAAGGCACTCAAAGATACGAACAATCATGCAGATAGCATAGGACCAGGCAGTGTTTCATTCTGTTATACATAAGGTAGCCATGAGTCACAGCCAACTCAATTGCAACTAACAACAAATTTGTGTATGTTTTATACTATATATAAAGACAGTAGTCTAGATAATTTATAAATAAGCACATACAGAGATAAATATTTCATTTCTTTACTGACACTCGAGTTTGGAAACAACTAGGTGATGACTTTGTTTTTTTAAATTTTAATAGAAAACTTTTCCTCTCATCTCAAAATGTATGGGCTAACCTTAAATGCAGACAAATTTTCAAATATTTGCTTAAAAATACTTTAATCAAGGACTTAAAACCAACAGGCCCTTGACTTCAGAACCGTTCCCCTCTCTATTTCTCTGAAAAATGTGAAAATCATTACCTATTTCACAAGCATAAATGCTAGGCACACTACATTAGCTCTATAAAACCCTTAGTTCCTGAGAGAGATATTATATAAAACATTTATACTTTCTAACAAAATCTGGTCTTTTGGAAAATTAGTATTTATTTTGTCTTGAGTTAATATGAGATGTGAAGGGAAGAAAACAGTAGTGGACAGGCAGAAGATGCAAGAAACTAGAGAATAAATGGCATCTACCCCAACATTCTTCTTTTTTAAATACCTCAAAGTCCAAATATATCACTATGACTCCTCTACGACTTCATCAAACTTCACTCAGCTTTTACTGGTGTCATGGTTTGAACTATGTCCCCCAAAAAATGTGTGTATCAATTTGGGTACGCCATGATTGTGTGGCTGGCCTCCATTTTGTGATTGTAATTTTATGTTAAAGAGGATTAGGGTGGGATTGTAACACCACCCTTACCCCGGTCACATCCCTGATCCAATGTAAAGGGAGTTTCCCTAGGGTGTGGCCTGTACCACCTTTTAACTTACAAGAGATAAAAGGAAAAGGAAGCAACAAAGAATTGGGGACCTCATACCACCAAGAAAGCAGCACCAGGAGCAGAGTGTGTCCTTTGGACCTGGGGTCCCTGCACCTGAGAAGCTCCTCAACCAGGGGAAGATTGAGGAGAAGGACCTTCCTCAAGAGCCGACAGAGAGAGAAAGCCTTCCCCTGGAGCTGACGCCCTGAATTTGGACTTCTAGCCTACTGGACTGTGAGAGAATAAACTTCTCTTTGGTAAAACCATCCACTTGTGGTAGTTCTGTTGGAGCAGCACTAGATGATTAAGACAAGTGGTAAGTTATTCTATTTTATTATCACCTCTTTTCTCAGTTACATAATCCTTTTGAAAGCACAACAAGGATGAAAAATACAAAGTAACAGTTCTAACTCTAGAAACTATTACCATTGAAGCTTAGGCTTTTCAAACAGATTCTCAATTCAGGCTAGGGGGCCAACTGGATCAAATCCTTGATGAGAGCCCAAACAGCTGACATGTCTACAATATTCTGTGGGGATACAGGCAGGAATGAATTGGGGAAGATTTTTCTTCCTTGTGATGTAATCCAGGAGACAGACATGTGGAACAACATAATAAAAGAAACAGCTTTGATACTGACAGAAGACAGATGCTAGCTAGCGTCAGGCACAACTAAAATCACAGGAAAAAGGAGACTTTGCTAATGCCCCTCAATTATAGCTAAGGATTGAAAGAAACTATCCAGTAAGGTAGTTACTAGTTTCTTTCTTGGGCAGACGAGAGACTAAGCCTGTACCGCCATGAAAATCTATCAAAACACATTTATCAAGGATATAAAGATCACAAGGCACCTTTATTAACCATACAAACTCTAGGAATGACATATTTAAGGAATATAAAGTTCTTCTGTTTTTGCAGAAATAATCACTGCTAAACATCCATTAAATGACTCCTCTTTGATTAACTAGTCACTTTAACTGTTCAATCAGAATATTTACAAAATGCCTACTACAAAGCAGGTCCCTAGAAGCTGTCTTCCGAGGAAAGCTAGGAACAACTTTATAGGTACCTCAGATTAGGAAATAACACGTTTTCCTATGAAGAGCTTCACAAATATCTTTATCTTTTCATTTGCATTCAAATAGTAACCTCACCTAAAGGAGCAATTCCTGAACTTAAAAAAGAAACGATCACTCCTGTCTCTTCCTCTAAATTCATTTCTATTATGATGTTTATGAAACAAAAAGAAAAACTTCATACATATTCTCATTTTTCCTTTTCTTTCCCTAACCTATGCTACAAAATATGGGGGGAGGGGGCACCAAGAGAATTAAATCTAATGCATCGTGCAAATATCTAAAGTGCGTAAGCAAAGCTGTAATGACAAAATGGAACAGCTGCATTACAGGGAACTGCAGTAAGCCAAATAACTATACATGCTAAGGTTTACAAAGATAATAAGCACCCAAATGCTGAAAGTATGCACTGACTCCAGCAGAGAGACAGCCTTCAACCAGAAATACCATGTCTCCAGGATACAGTCTTCAAGAGAAACTAATCCCTTGGCCTCAAGCTAATGACTATTCCTTGCTGAGGTTACAACAAAAGAAAATGTTAGGTACTATATTAACTAAAACCAAGCAACTGGCTCAATACCCCCACCATATATTTAAAAACAAAAAGATCCTATCTGCTTGGGGAATCAAAAAATTTCTGTTGGTTCCAAGACACTAACTGTACCTTCGCCAACACCAGTTTATTTGGGTCACTTTTCTAAATTATTAACCAACGGAACATACTCTACCCTATCCTCAAGAGTTTGACTATACCTGTGAAATTAACTTTCCAAAGTTTGCTTTTTAAAAAAAAAACACAAAATTGCCACCCTAGAAAGCATGACTGAACTGAGCATCCAACCTTAAAACACAATCAGCCAGAAATTCCTACACACTAAGTCATTTACATGATACAAGATTCAAGCATTAACAAGGGAAAAAACCTCAAGGAGGCAGATATAATAAGAACACTATGAAACCAGGCACAGACTTAAACACA